TTCGGCGGCAACAGGCTGAATCGGGAGCCGCTGGATTTGGTGACGGACGACCCGAGCAGCGGCGTCTTCACGGTCAAAAAAGGCCTGACGTGTTGCATTGGCCAGGGCTGATGTAGCACCAGGAACGAGCATGATAACTGTCAGGATTCACCAGGCTGTCAGCCCTGGCAACGATTCTTTTCTTTGCCAGCGAGTTGGACTTGAACGAGCCTTCCGTGCAGGACAGAGCGGGAGAACTCGGTCAAGGGTTGACTGTTTTGCTGATTGTGCAATTGCTTTTGGTGTGTACCCCTGGAAAAAAGGAGCTTTGCAGGCCCTTGAAGGACCTGCTGCTGCAGAGCCTGGAGATCGCTGCAGTGGTGACGCACAGCAACAACCTCATTGAGATCTCTATGGACAACATACAGCTCAGCACTCAAGGCGCAGAGCGGCAAAGGAAGGATGTTCCTTTGCTGCTCTTGGCTTGTCCTCAGCAATTTGATGTGTGTGATTAGCTGTTTAGCTGAGCATTCAATGCTCGCGCAGCGTGCACCGCTCAGATCATGAGAATTGCTCTTCGGTTCGAGAAGATGCTAGACGAGATGCGGGCGCAGGATGCATCAAACGCCTCGATGTGCGATGAGGAGCTGCTATTGAAGCTGAAGGAGACGCTTGTTTGTGTTAGGTTAGCGTGGAAACCTTCCGGAGGCGGGCTAAGAAACAATGCGTTGGCTGCTGCACGCTAAGGCAGTACAACTCCCACAAGGCCAACGTTGGCGTCAAGCGCTGGCAGCTCACCGAAGACATGTTCCAGTCGTTGGTGGGGGTCATCACTGGAATGACCAGTGAATGCCGTGGTTTGATCAGAGCCCATTTGAACTACAATAAATGGGAAGCTTTGGCAAGCTTGGTAGTCCTGTTACCCTTTTGCTCTTCTTGGGTTTGGGCTTGTTTTGCCACGAAGTAACCACACCAAAGGGTATGCTCAGCATGGTCTGGTCAGTGCCCGGGTCCCTGCCCTACTGTACCAAGGAGGAATCCGCATACAACGAGAGCTTGCTGAAGTCCAAACGACACCTTCTCCACGCCACATCCAAGAACATCACAGGAGAATGGCGCGACATAGTGACAGCAGCTTGGATGGACACAGAGATGTATAGAGTATAGAGCATGCTGGAGCAGTTCCTCACAAGGAGTTCCTTCCAAACTCAGGTGACCGAGCACGGTCAGGCCCTCCATCTGAAGCGGTACAACTGCTACTGGAAACAGTGCCTGGCTTGCATGTCGAGACGTCAGGGCCTTTACAGCAGCAGACATTCGCCCACAAGTCCTGTCCCAGCCTCTGGAGTTTCCAGAAGCCCTGAGCCACGGGCAGGATTCAAAGCCCCAAGCACCGCCTGACCTTGCGCGAATTGCTTTTCAGGAGTTGCCGCCGGGTAAAGAAGTCCATGCGCAGCAGAGTGAGATGGAGCTTGGAGCAGTGGGAGAAGGGCACAGAGATGGCGGCCTTGGCAGACTGGGCCTTCCGGCAATGCTCAAGCGACAGCAAGGCCAGGCGCTGAGCATGTTCGCCTGCCTGCTGCACTTCAACGTTTTTGGCCTGAACTGAGGTGAAAAAGGAATGGCTGGATAGCATGCTGGAGGGATTTCTGCAGGGGCCGGGTTGCGCGTGCAATGTCCTGTCTTGCAGCCGCTCAAAGTTAATCTAATCATCCCTGAACGTGTGGAGCTTTGCACGCCCGTGCAGGGACTACCAGCAGGACCTGGAAGCCCAGCTCGCAATGAAGTCCACGCCGATGAGTGTGAGCAAGCTCCAGATGTACCAGGATCACGTGCAGACCCACTTGGACGCCAAGGCAGGCAGGACCTTTGCCGAATCAGACGCCTCGATCGAAGAGGCAGAGGAGCGCCTGCTTGAGGCGGAGTACGCTATGATGGTCAGTGGCCTCCAGGCTGACTACAGACTGCACGTGCAGCACCAGAACGCCAAGAATCGGGTGGAGGCCAACAGCCACTATGTCCGTGTGATGCACTTGAAGGAGCAGATTGCAGACTGCAATGTGAAGATCGAGACCTTCATGAGCAAGCGATGCCTCGTGAAGTGTCTCTCAGAGACCTTGCCTCGGTTGTACATTCAGACCAGCGGAGGGCCTCGCATTCTTCTGCCGTTTCAGTTGTCCGTCCGGAAACAAGTCTAAGGAAAGTGGATCGCCAGACATTTGTGAATTTTGTCAACACAGTGGTGCTTGCCGCAACCTCGGAACAAGCCCGGAGGCTGAAGCCCGAGGAGGTGCACCACATCGGGTACATTGACTTCTCAAAGCACCTGGTCTTCAGTTACTTCTGTTGCTGACTTCAGACGCGTCTAGAGTCTAGATTCTGTGGCAAGATCTCAATTCTGTTCAGGCTTGGCCGGTTGTCGATACCGCAGATC